CTGCAAAGACTCAACGTCAGCCAAGGCGAGTGAGAAAAGGAAGGGTGCGCCGCTCTACATTGTGTACAATTGCGCGTGTGAGTTCTGCATTGGCAATACCACAACTATATCAACAACACGCTCGGTGAGGTGAGCATCTACAACATATCATCAATACCAAACCCTCACGCAAATATATAAATACATATACATATATATATATATACACACATACACATCGTATATTTGCATACATAGGTACATATAGATGAGCACATGCACAGACACGAGGCTATATGGATACATGCACATACATGGGAGAGTGCATGCTTAGACTAAACCTGGCTCATACAACTAACCAAGCTGCAAATGGTCCTGGCGGGGAGCTTTGCTGGAGTGTTTTGTTGAGGACCTTTTTCAGGTCTTGGGCGTGTTCCTTCGGTCCCAGCTCTGCGTCGTCATCTGGTGCAGGATGTAGGCTCAAGGCGGTCCGAGCAGGGTTTAGGAACTAATGACCATCTTGTGGTCGTTACCTCGGGTGGGATGGCCCGCCTCTGCTTGATGATCGCGACGCGGATGTAGGCTCAGGACGGCCGTTACAGCTACACTGCACAGGGACGAATAGGGCGCCTACGGGGTTGGGCTTAGGGGTGGGGACGCCTTTCGGCGCTTCGCCTTTCGGCGCCTTCCCTTTTCAGGGCCGCAATGCAAACATTCCGTCCTCGATGGCATAGTCCGGGGTAGCTCCCCCGGTGGCTCGAACACTGACAGGAGGGATGCTTAGGGTCAGTGCCAGGTATTATTCTTAAGGCAGGGCTGAGGGTCTGGGGGTCTCAGGTGCTGGGCTTGGGATGCAGGTCGAGGTGTCGGGTGGTTGGCTTGGGGGACTGCGTTTTCGGCTACTAGGGATTTAACCTTTGGGGTGGGTTGGGTCTGGGTCTACTCAGTCTTACTTAGTATTGGTGCTTAGGGTTCGGGCCCTCAGTTTGGGCATTGGGGTGCTTAGCTTGGGGGGAAGTGCTGAAGGCCTAAAGGGCCTAAACACTAGAACCCGATCAACCCTGAAAACCCCACGACCTAGCACCCCGAGCCTAACGCCTCGAAGGGCGAAAACCCTAGCAACCCTAACGCCTAGACCCCTGACTCCTAAAAACCCTAATGCCTTATAAACCCTCAACCCCATGAGCCCTAAAATAGCCCCGAGACCATGAACCCCGAGCCTAACGGTTAGGGCTTTGGGGCCTTCAGGGTTTAGGGTTTTAGGGGTTTGGAGTTTGGGCTATAGGGTTTGGCACCCCACCCCAAATCCTAAACCCCAATCCTAACACCTTTCGGCGGACCCCCAAACCCCAAACCTACCACCCTTCGCTGCGCCCCAAGCCCAAGCCTACGCCTTTCGCCCCAAATCCTAACACCTTTCGGCGGACCCCAAATCTACCACCTTTCGGCGCACCCCAAGCCCAAGCCTACGCCTTTCGCCCCAAATCCTACACCTAAACTTTTTTTCCACATGCAGTCATCGAGCTTGAGCCAGGTATTGAAACGTTTGAGCCAACAACACAATTTTTTGAATGTCTTGAGCCAGGTTTTCGAATGTTCGAGCCAACAAACAACTTTTTTGAATCTTTCCTTGAGCCAAACACCACTGCTTGAGCCATTGCTTGATCCGCCAAAACGCTTGAACCACTTGGTGTTCAAGCCACCTGCTTGAGCCAGAAAAACACTTGAGCCACGCCTTGCTTGAGCCACCTGCTCTCGCCAAAACACCATCCTCCCTCTCTCATTGAGCCAACAGAGTCATTGCTTGAGCCATAAAACACTTGAGCCACTTGGTCTTTAAGCCACCTACTTGAGCCAAACTGGGTCTTTAAGCCATCTGCTTGAGCAATAAACCATCATGTTTCTCACGGATTTTTGAATCGAAACCCAGCAAAAAACTAAGTGACGGTTGCATGGTTTTGTTTTTCCTTCCGCCCACGTTCAATTGAAATTGACACACAGTTGTATCGAAATCTACATCATTGCAATTTACAACATTCCGTTCTCTTCACTTCTATTGGACATGTTTCCGGATGATGTGTTGGCATGTCGATGTTGATTTGGGCTTGATTTCAGCTCTCAGGTTAGGTTCACCTTGATAGCCAGCACCATTCTAGTGTCATGCCGTCGTAAGTTTAAACCGACAACGTCTTCTGCAGCAATGGTCTACGAGTGTTTCCACCATACCTTTATGAACCACTGTGACCACTAGTATTACTATACTATTATTACTACTACTACTACTACTACTATTACTACTGCTACTATTACTATTACCATTATTACCACTACTATTATTACTATTTCTATTACCACTACTACTACTACTATTGCTACTACTACTACTACTACTACTACTACTACTACTTCCACGACGACGACTACTACTATTACTACGATTACCACTACTACTACGACGACGACGACGACCACGACTACTACTACTACTATTACCACTATTACTACCACCACTACTCCTACTACTACTAGTACTACGACTACTGCTACTACTACTACTACTACTACTATTACTACTATTACTACCACCACTACTACTAGTAGTACGAGTACTAGTACTAGTACCAGTACTAGTACTTCCATTACAACGAATACCACCACCAGCTTTCGTGTTGCCTCTGACCCGAGCGGGCCAGCTGCAACCCTGCTCCGCAGCATGCTGCAGGTTGCCGAGCGACTTGATTTGACTTGATTTGATCTGTTTCGACTCGACTCGACTTAACTCGATTGACTCGACTCCACTTGACTTGACCTGACATGACTTGGGTGGACATGATTTGATTTGACTTGACCTGACCTGACCTGACCTGACCTGACCTGACCTGACCTGACCTGACCTGACCTGACCTGACCTGACCTGACCTGACCTGACCTGACTCGACTCGATTTGACTCTACTTGACATGACATGACCTCCGGCAAATTTAAGCAGCCGTTCGCCCGAATGGGCCCCACGTGTACACAAACAAAGAGGCAAGCCACAAGTGCCATTTCCGAATGCATCATGTGGCTGGCGCCACCGACATCTAGCTGCAGTGCACGAGTTCATCGCCGATGTTCTGGGACACTGTTTCTCGTTGTGGCTGCGCAGGCGCCGCGCAGTAGTCCCCAGGCGCAAAAGCAGGTGCAAAGGGGTGTAAAGGGACCTTCTTGTGGAAAAAAAGTGCTGGGGAAAAGTCGATGTGTCGCAAACATGCAGCGAGAGCGCGAACAGCAAAATCACCGGCGAAACGGAGAGTAGTCGGCGCTTGCAAATATCAGTGCAACGGGATTCCAAACTGATGTCTAGCTTGTTTTCACCCACGCATGGCCCACCCCACACGGGCTCAACGCACGACCTTGTCGAACTCCTGCTTCAATCGCACCGCGCATTCGAAGATTCAGTCGGCGTCGTCACTTGACCAACTTGTTCCGAATCTAAGCGCTGTATTACCCAAATCATGAGTAACGAAACGCCCCGGTCGTGCAAAGCATTCGATAAAGATTTCCAATCCATAGTATACACGGTCCCTGTGCGCAAACCAACAGCGCGGGATGTATTTACCTTTGGGACATTTTCTTTCATACATGGCTTCGAAAGATGAAAAGTGGATGAGATGAGGCTCCCTTTTAGAATCCTTTTGACAAGGGTGCTGCACCATGTATCCATGAACGACCATATGAGTCGCCAACTAAGCTTCCTCCAAAGGCCGATGTTGTTTGAATCCACGTTGCTTCTAACCGCGTAAGAATAATAGGTTTATAAAGCAACCGCAACCAGCTGGGCTTCCGTAGATTGAACCAGCATCTTGAACTATGTGAGAGCATACAGGTCATCGCGAACGGCATGCCTTAATTATGCCCATGGGCGTACAGCTTGCTGTCGACACTACACGCGTGTCATCCTTCACTGTTGGCGTGCCATGGCAAGACACAAGCCGCGCAGCTGGGGCAGCTGTCCGGGTCGCCGGCGTCAAGGACCGCACATACCCAGTGTTTGTCTCTTTGTCGCTCTTGACGATTGAGGTTGGTGGGCGCCCGAGCCCTCGGGCCGCTCAGTTTGTCAGAATGCCCGGCTCGATCCGCTCCCGCTTAGCCCGCTTCATCGCGGAGTGTGCACGTTCCGCGTGGCGCGGCACTGGTCCGCACCACTTGCCTTTGCAGCCGCCTGCTCCGTTGCACCTGTCCAGCACAGCCCACGCACATGGATAATTACTGCTCCTCAGCGATATCCCTGCGCCGACTGTTCCAAGCAGCCCTTTTTGCCGGCCGCGTCGGCTCTGGGCACTGGGACCACAAAGTGACAAATATTGGAAAAAACACCCGTTTGGCGAAGCATGCCCCTGCCAAGCTCTGACTGTCATCGTTGTAAATTCTTGGTGGATGTTGTGGGGATTGGTCGCACAGCCGTTGCGGCCATTGCTCACAGAGGCGCTCTGCTGCGATTCAGGCCCTGCAGTCGCTGTGGTGTCACCCACGCCGTCCACCAAATGCCGCAAGCATTCCACAGGCCAAGAAATCGCGAAGGGCGGGGAGGCACAGACTGCCGGGCCACAGACCTTCCGAGGAAAAGAACGGCCGGTTGAAGGCGGGGACCACTGCTGGGGCCGCGCAGGGATGCCCCCCCTAGCATCAGTAGTCTAAGTTGTATATATATATATATATAGAATGAATCTATGTGTATATATATATATACATAGATAGTGAATGTAGTAGTGTTTACTGCAAAGCCGACACACCGCACGGGCATAAACGTCCGAGGTTACAAAACGTTCGAACAACCCACCCTGGCCAGCAGCAATGGATGGCACTGCGACCTTGACGTGGAAAGCTGTGAGGGCTGCATGAAGCATGGGCACTGCAACAAAACCAACCAATGCACGATATATTGCAATTTTCGTTAATTTTCGCAATCGTTGCAACCAGGCTGCCGCAGCTTTTTCACACAGGCAACCTTGGCGCTGTTGCGCAAATGTCCAATCTCATAAATGTGTTTTTTCTGCTTTTCTGTTTTTAGTAGAAAGAAGGAATGTCCATGTCAGCGGGTTCATGCCCTGCGCTCTGGTGAATGCAACAAGCACGGACAAATTGTCGATGCAATGTTTGTTTTCTCTCGTGCTGCTTCCGGCCATTAAGCTTGGCTGGTTATTTATTGCACAGCTGCATCGCTAGCATAAAACGGTCGCAGTCATGGTTGCCCTGGTTGAGCTTCCCTTGCATGGGTTGGGAACGCGTATGCAAGGAACCGCTCGTGCGGGCAGTCGCCGTGCCAATGTTTTTGCAAGCTGTCGGTGCGGCACTTGGACAAGAGGAGCCAACTCCCGGTTGCAATTGCCCAGATTTGCTCAGTTTTCGCAGGTTTCGCAGTACAAAAGTGCAATTTTCAATGTTCACAAATGTTCACAACCTCGCAAATGTCCACCATTTCTCTCCATGAAGGAGATCGACAATTTGCTCGTGCAACGCATCGGTGCCTTGGATTGCAAATAATTATGTGGTGTGCAGCCAAGTGCGAAACATGCTTGTGCTGGATTTTTTCGATTTGCGACGGCAAGGTACAGTAGGATTTACTTGAATAAATTTGCGATTCGTTATATAGAGTCGAGTTGCCCAATGCGACAAATTGCGTTGACCTGAGGCCACTGGCGAGACATGTCGCCCAGCTGATTCCTGGTTACGGGACCAGATAGCGGCGGCTTTGGGCATGGCATGGTGTTGTTCCCAAAACCGCTACCTGCAGAGTCAGCCACCATGCACCTAGGATGGTAGACTTTGTCGTCGCTGGTTTCGAACGTGGCGGCACCACCAGCATCGTCAAGTTCCTGCAAGCGGCCCAGGACCCCCGACGCCAGTTTAGCACGTCAGAGAGCGAGCATAGACAAGCATGGTGGATGGCACAGAGGCAAATGCATGAGACGAGAGGGATGCTATTTTGTGTTTGCACTGCTGGCGATTTCTGAGATTTAAGGAGATCAATGCGTCGGCGTTTTTGTGATTTCCTTATTATGATACGATGACCAGATGATTTGACTTAACCTTATAATAATTAGGCTTAGCTCCGAAAGCTGGCGTTCTGTTCAGGGCAGAGGTTGCCGCCATACAAAAACGGATGGCACGTATCTAGCATGTGTCGTGTTGCGGGGCACTTTTTGGAGTACTCATGTGGATTCATGCCCTGGTGAGGACATTTACATGGTGCCATTCGAACTGTCTGTCTCTTGGCGAGATCGGGTTCTTCGAGTGGCAAGAGCAGGAATATGTCAAACTATGTTGTAAAGGAAATGCAGTGATACTGTTGAAGGACTAAATTCTGCATGACCCAAATGTAGCATAGTACCACCAATCCCATAGTTTAGGTATATAAGGTCATGCAGGATTTTGTACATCAACCGTAGCTCTGGCAACGGTGACAGATTCTTGCCTCTGCTTGCAGGATTGGGCTCGGGACTTCAGCACGCCTGCCGTGCCAACTCCGGGCTGTGATTCTGTGGACCCTCCGAGCTATTGGAATCTTGGCTAAACCCTCAACCCTAAACCCTAAACCTTAACTTAAACCCTAAACCCTAAACCCTAACGAGTTTCGAGATGCTCTAACGGAGGAATTTGCAGGCATGGACTTGCAACTGCAACATGAATCCGATGGTGACCACACGTGATCATGTGTTCGATGCGTATCCTTCGGCATAAACGGAAGCATGTGCCATAGCCATTTGGTGCGTCATTGAGTTACAACAAGGCCAGCATTTATGAGCTTTGCTTTTTGGCCAGCCTTCGAGACCATCGTGCCGTGGCGGCACGGTTTTGATGGCAGGCATGCAGCGTAACCCCGAAGTTGTGCAACTGAACCTTCTGATGCCGCCTGGCGTATGCCGGTGTTACTGGTATTCCCTTGGACGGTCACCCGAAAACTGCAAGCAGGGCCTTGAATTCCTTAGGTTTTTTGTGAAGCTTGATATCGAAGGCGAGGCTCAATCATCAAGTGCAGCGTTGTGCGACAGGCAAACGGGTAGGCCGGCCCGGTTTCCTTTCAGTCCATGTAATAACTTCGAGACCAACGTACGACAGGGTCTTCCGTGTTTGGGGCTTACGCCGGACGTTCAGTATTGAGCCGTAGCGCCTGTGTGCGGATTGGTTTGCCAAGTTTCTGCATGCCACGCGGGATTTCACTGCTGTACATGTCGGTCTGTTTGTATGAAATACTGTCGGCTGATGGCATGCCGCACCTGGATTGTCCAGGTGTGTGGGATTCGCGCTACGCATCCCACGACATCGCGTCACGCAAGGCACTCACTTGTGACGTAAGATGGAATGTGCATGTGGTCCAGCAACGGGCTTGCGCCATACTTGTCGCAGTTTATATGAGCAGTGCACGTCTTGCTCTGCACAACGGGCTCAAGTTGAAGAGCCTTGGCTTGCTACGCACTGCGAAAAAAACACATGGAGACGGCTATTTTGAGGCCTGTAGGGTTCACGGAATCTCAAACTCTTACATTTCGTGTTGTGGGCTTCGGCCTTTGCAGGTGCAAGCCCTGCTTTCTGGGTGGCTTGACAGCACTGCAGCACTGCAGCCATTCTGACAGAAAGAGGTTGCGTGTTTAGGGTTTAAGGCAGCAAGAATCGCAGCTGTACAAACGAACGCACACGGTCAGAGATCAGTTGCCTTGGTGGCTCGCCGGCTCGCTGTGGATTTGGGGTTCCTCGGTCATGTCCACACCTTTTGACCGTGCCTTTGGCATTCGGAGCTGAGGAAATCCGGGGCCAGAGTATCTTGCCAAGAAACTTCAAGAAATGCGCAGCTCCTGGTTGTAAACCTGGCGTAGGCTGCGAGGCACACTCGGCGCATTCTCTTCGAAATCTGAGGTGGTTTTGGCATTCCGAGATCCGATTCGCTATGTGACACGCTTGCAAACATTGTTTGGGGTGTAGCCCGACAGTGGCGAAAGCCTCAACAAGAGTGTGCGATGTTGCTTCAAGAAGGTGATCACATCGCAGAACCCCTGCTGGAAAAAACTTTGTGTGTTCCGCCCATTAATTCATTCAACACAGCAGAGTGCACACGGCATAGTTCAATTTCCACATCCCTTCAAGAGTTCCTCGTGGAACTGCACCCAACATGGCCCTGCGAACTGTAAGAAGTCCGCCGCCGCAGAATGAAAACGCATGCACGGTGCCAGTGCATCGTCGCCACTTTCTGGTCGGCATACTTCGAGATCTCAGAAGGGTTTCTATTGAGGCCTAGCAAAAGTGTGCATCCTCAACTCCCGGGATGCTGAGTTGGTATGATATGAGGACATATGAGGTGTCCATTTCAAACCAGTAACCAGGTCTTAACTAACCCCAAACCGATTGCGAAAGCCCTCTAGTTTGAGTGTTACTTGGGAACCAACCCTATCCCCATCCTCTGATGCCTTTTAAACTAAGTTATGCTGATCCAGGTGCTGTCCTCATTCAACCGAATGAGTCCAGCCACTTTGCTGCGAGTAGCTGCCTTCTGCACAATTTTTGGGTTCAGGGCCTCTGGTTCTGTAGCAAAAGGATTTAGGTATTCTACGATGGCTCAAATCTTCCTGGCTTGGGGAGCTCAGGGCGGATTCACCCTGGGAGTAGATGTTGTTGTTGTTTGGTTGTAGAGCTCCCTGGGGCTCCAAATAGCCCAATGTAGGTACTGTTTACAGACTTTAGACCCCAAAGTAGGTACTATTTGTATACTTGGAGCCCAAGGGGCTTGGGGATTCCATGGGTTCCAGCAAGTTCTGTTGCAACTCGTGGATTGGCTGCCGGCATCGGCCGGCGGGATGGGGGAGCGTTTCCGTTCTGTTGGCTAGGTGCTTTCATGCTTGTGGCGTACCTTAACCCACCAGAACCTACTTTTTTGAAGGGTCCCTATAAATCCCATATAACCCTAAACCCTATAATAAGCACCTAGCAAAAACGTGGGTTTTTGGGAGGTTCAGGTATGGGTTAGCAGCGAGGGGCTCGAGCCTGGCAGTCACTCTTGGCGAGTATGAGGACCACATCAACTACTTGGAGGTTCATGGGACTTAGTAAGTTCTGTTATAAGTACCTTCATTGGGGCTAGAAGTACTTATAAGTATAGTTACCTTATTTATAACCCTAGTTACTAAGTCCCATGAACCTTTAAGTAGCCCAGCAGAGTGAATGGTGGCTTGCAGGGGTGGCCCCGGAAAGCATATGGGTAGTTCTCTAAATCAGGATCCCTCTTTAGGTTCCCAATATAATACGGCACTCTTATAAAAAGGACCCTAAAAGGGACCCTAATTTAGAAAACTGCCCATATGCTCGTCAGGACAGCCCGGGAGGGCGAAGCTTCATTGAAGCGGCGCGAGAAGAGGTGGCCACACTGAATTTTCGGAAGTGTACAGGTTTTGTAGGGGTGGGCTTATTTCGGGTTCAGTTTAGGGTTTATAGGGGGATGGTGAGAGGAGGTGCCCAAGCTGAATTTCCAGGTTTTTGGTGGTTTAGACTTGGAACACCTAATTCGGGAATCCACGCTTTGCGTGTCTATAGGGTTACTTCACAGGGTTATCCTTAAGGGATTGATTTTTGGGACCCGCCAGGGGTCTAGATTCCTGACTGGAGAGGCTGAAAGAATTTGTCGTAGGGCTTATGGGAATTGGCTTATGTAGGGCTCATAGGGCCCGTTTAGGGTTCAGGGTTTCGGGTCAACGATCTTGGACGGTCTGGATGTCTAGCTGACCGCAGCAGTTGTGTGCGCATGTTTGTGTGTACTCTGTCGGCTATGTCAGTGTTCGTGTCTCTATCGGCTGGAGCGATGCCCTACCTTTGCAGGATATCGATCCAGATCCATATGGACTTCGCTTGCGGCCTCCTGGTTCGCAGATGTTGCAATTATAGGAGAGCTTGAGTTGGCTACTGATTGCAAGCTCCCTTCCCCTATAGGGGTTGTAGGATGGTCCCAACATTGGGGCCCTTACGAAAGAGGGCGTATTCAGCCGGGGTGTTTGTTACCTTTGAATCCAATGCTTAAAAAACCCTGAACCCTACACCCTAAACCCTAAACCCTACGGCACTTGCATGCAGCTGAGTAGGGCCCGTGCGGGAAGTCTAAGGAAGGGCAATTTTTCAATTCTCGCGCGGCGCATGATGGAGAAAGTCGGTCATGATGCAGCTGCCGGGCGCAAGCTGATTAGGGTTTGGGGTTTAGGGCTTAAGGGGAGGAACTCTCAGGATAAATGCAGATGCCGGTTACTTGTGGTTCACTGGTTCAACAGCAGCTGCGACCCAACACTGCCCTGGAATACTACTGTGCAATAACGTCTTGTGCGATTTGCACCTGATTCATTGTGAACATGAATGCCTTGGCATATTGGTCTTCCGGTCTTCACATGCTGGTTCTTGGAGAGTGACTTGGTGATTTTAGAAGAGATGGCAATTGGCAATTAGAACAGGTAGGCTTCGGAAACCCATCCAGTCGAAGAAAGGTCTAACCTGGTCAAACCAAGCTTCATCGTTGCATATCAGCCAGAGGCTAGTGAGGCTGCCACGTTGCAGCGGCTTCTGCTTGGATGTCCCATGAATGTCCAAACCTTGTTTGCTTTTGTTATAACGTAAATCCAGGGGTGCATTCAGGCACTATGTTGATTATGCTTCTAGCTTGTATAGAAGGAAGGGTGACTCGAAGGCTGGAATGCTTTAAATGTGGATCCAGCAACAACAAGCTTTTGTTTAATCTTACTAGCCGAGTAGAAAACCTTTAATCTTATGGGGTTGATAATATATTCCCACCAGAATTAAATATGTGAACTGTTTTGGGCTGGGGCACTCAGTCCCTCAGTAAGCGTTACGGTACTCGCTTCAGTTCTCAGGAGTCAGTCCTAAGTCCTAATTAAGTCAGGGAATAGAGACAGCGACAGCCCTCATAGTGTGTCCTTGCTTCTCGAGGCCTTCACACATCCGCTGTCCCACACACTCCATCCAGCTCGGGTCCATAATCCTTTCCCCCTAGTATGAAACGCCTCCGCCCCCCAATAGATACTCGGACAGTTTTTGCATAGCCGGTGTGTTTGCCTTTACTGCCACTTTTGATGGGTCGTGCTCTTGCTCCTGCTCTGGCTCTTGCTCCCACTGCGTCTTTTGCTCCCGCTTCGGCTGCGTCTTTTGCGCCTGCTCCTGCTGCGTTTGCTGTTGCTCCTGCTCTTGCTGATGCTCCCGCTTTTGCTCTTGCTCCTGCTATTGCTCTAACTCCTGCTCTTACTTTTGCTCTTGCTCTTAGGGAGGATTTCGGGTGGAAGGGATCAAATGACAGTGTGCTGACTTGTTGGTGCGATCAGTTCCCTTAGAGGCCCCAAGATACTGGAACATTCTGGTTGCAAACGGACATTGCCAAGGTTTGGCTGCAGCCTTTCGACACCATGTGCCTTGACGGTCTTTTTGCCTTCAAAGGATGTATGTTCACCCCATGACTAACCGAAATACAGAGCCTGAGGGTAGAAGCGCTACCATGCAACAGAGCACTTACGAAGAATTGATCCTCGGTCGGTGTAAGGCTAACTCATGCAGACGGCTTTTTCCAAGGAGAGCTCACGACTCAAGGGGGGCAACTAGGTGTCATGTACTCAGTAGTATTCACATATTCCTTTGAGGGCATGAGAACTACAACACTACTGCAACTCAGATTAAGCCACAAATGAAACCTCACCCACAAAATCAAGATTAACTTTAAACCCTAAACCCTAAAAACCCTAAATCCTAAACCTTAAACCCTAAATCCTAAAGCATAGAGCTGCTTCTGGGCAGTTTGGGATCAGGCTTTGGCCGGCTCCGTGTCATCAGAGGGTTCACGGGTGCGTAGAAGGCGCGAGTAGAAGTGGGGTCGTCATAGGGTTTAGGGTTTAGGGTTTAGCGAGTCTCTTGTGAAAAAAAGGTTTATAGGGTTTGGGGCCCTGAGCAAAGGGTGTATCATGTGGGAGCTCCCGAAAATAAGGGGTGCACCTTATTTTGGGGTCCTTATAATAAGGATCCTACTATTTAGCTACAGGTTACTTTGTTAGGGTCCCCTGTTTCGGAAACCCCCATGTTGATCAGTAAATAGGAACAAACGCCCGCTAAACTGTAAACCCTACGCCCTAGACGGGTTGAGGTTGGCTGGCAATATATGGGCCTAAATAATTACCGACACTATTTTGGGTTCCTTATTATCATTATAGTATAGTATACCCCCAAACCCTATTGTAATTATTAAGGCCTCGACATTACCCTGGGGCTCCAAATAGCCCAACGTAGGTACTATTTACAGACTTTAGACCCAAAGTAGGTACTATTTGTATACTTGGAGCCCGAGGAATATAATTCGATTCTTCTTACACTACTCTGTAATGTGAGAACCCTAACGAGACCCCAGTTTTGACCACCTGAATTAGTTAGGCAGGACAGATCGGAAGTTCTAGCTTGGAACCTCCCTATGCTTACGCGCCCTGTTAGTGGGGTGGTTGAGAGAGCAGTACTTGTTCTTCGCTCCGGGTCTATATGGTTGTGGTCCCACTCTTGTTCCAACTTCCGCTGCCGGCGCGAAGATGCCAATCTGCAGAGTGCTACAAACTCAAGACTCAAGAGACCTTGGGAATTCAGCCGATGGATGTCAGAAGCAACTGCAGCCTCTGTCCTTGCGTAGAATCTGTGTGAGCACTACAGTGTGGGATCCTTTCAACATCTGCGGAGCTAGCCATGTCCGTTCTCCTTCTGCTGCTGCCTCTGGCTGTCGAATCTGCCCAACTCTTGCCCAAGGAGGACTGACACCGCATGCAAGAATCTCAAGACGTGCTGTGGTTGGAGATACAGTTCTGTTGAAGTCTCCTACATACTTGTATGCATACAACTCTGTGTGTATGTACATTTGTAATTTCTCCGTTTTTCGGACCTGCACCCTGAACCCCGAATGACAAACGTTGTTGCACGCCACTTGGCTTTGCTTATGGCCGCCCGTAAACTTGCCGGCTTGTGTGTGACAATGGCTGTCGATCTTGGTATACGGTAGAAGCCTGAAAATGCCAATGCTGTTCCCAAGGGTTCTGTATTCTGCTGATACTGTAGTCTACCCGAAAACCGTATTCCAGTTCGTATAGAATTACCCTAGTATCCGAGCTTCAGTAGCCGGGGGCGCAAAGATGAGGGGAGGAACATGGTGCACACTTTTGCACCCCAAATCCTGTTACGCACAGTTGAAGTCTAAAAAGTCTACACTGTTTACAATTCAAACCAATCCTAAAACCTGAACCCGAAACCAAAAAGCCTAAACACGGCACAGTGTCAAAATCACAAGCCCCCAAGTCACCGAAGCAAAAAGAAGAGTTGGGGCGAGCCTCATGCTGAGCCTGACGATCTTTGCGGTTCGCACGCGTGGCCCTTTCTATCTTACCCTAGCGGGCCGAGTAGTCCTTATTTATGGCTTTTGACACCCACAAGGACCCCACCGAGTTTGTTATTCCATCATAAGGAGGGCTAGTGTTTCAGGGATGTC